GAGGGTTGATTTTCATTAGCTGAAACACTTTGATTCACACTATCAGTTTTTTCTTGTAGTAATTCTGCATGGATGTGGTCCATTCTTTTCCTTTTCTGTTCATTTCACAGCCAGAGTTGCTAGTTCAAGAATACTGTTATTTTCTCTTTGTTTTTCCAAAAAATTTGTTCCTCTTCCTCCTCCCTCTTCACTGCCATGTCACCAATCTCCCTACCTTCACCCCTTTCCTATGAAGCACTGCTTATTATTTAAGGTTACCAATTCTGGTACTGCTTACTTTCAAGTTCTTCTCCATGCCTAGAACTGTGAACTATCAAATTCCAAACCTTAGGTCAGTATTATGGAAACCAGTGTTGTATTTTTCTCTTTCATGAGATATTCTGTGCTTCATCGAAGTCTTCCATGCCCCTAAGACCTTCCAGTGAACCTGGTAAGCCTTCCGTCTCCCACTCTTCACATCCATATATTGAGAAGAAGGAGCTCTTGGGATCTGATTTATTTCTCTACATACAAGTCATCTGAAGGTTGTGGTAATCTGTTTTTAATAACGCTGAAGGAATAGGTGGTATGTGATTGATACGTGCTCTTTGTTTCCTTGCTGGTTTTATAGATTTATAGGAAGGTAGATGGAAAAATTGGATCCGGCTGCTGCCATTGTTCTCCAACCTGAAGTCTATACATACATATTTAAGTAGTGTATTAGAATATATTATCTTTGAAATACTGCTTTCACCATTTTCTGAAACACTTCACCTGTCATCATGAGATTCACTTTTGTTATCACCTAACAGTTTTCCAAAACAAGTCTTCTTCATTTTCTCCTGATTTGGTTTAGAAACATTTTGCCCTATAGAAGGTTACTTGTAAATTCCATAATAATAATCTCTTATTGCACTATTTTTGCTAGTGATTTATAAGAAGTGATTTATATGATATTACTAGTGATTATTGCTAGTGATTTATATGATATTACTCATAAAAACAAAACAAAACAAACGAGTATGCCTTTTGATCAGGTAATTCCACTCTCAGCAATCTGTCCTTCAGAAATACTTATAGGGCACAAGAATCGATATGGAAGAATGTGTCTTGCAGCAATGACCTATCAGTGTAAATCTGGGGCTAAACATCAGTGGGAGAAAGATAGGAATAGGCAAAAGACTGGGTGAAAAAAATAAATTATAAAATATGAACAGTATAACTCATTTTGTATTAAAAGCAACAATATATACTGGAACATGCAAGGACAGATGTAACAATCCTTGTTTATATATGCATTTAGAAAGACCCTAGAAGGAATAGCTAAGCTATTCATGAGATGAGAATGTGATGGGAGGATGATTTTAACTTAATTTGTATTAATTTAGCTATTAATACAACTAATATTTATAGGATGCTTAGCATGTGTTAATAAGCACATTCTACGCCCTTAACATGCAGTAAAGCATTTAATTCTTACGACTACTATTACCATTTTACAGATGAGAAAGCAGAGGCTCAAAAAGGCTAAGCACTACATGCAAGAGAATGAAACAGAATAACTGTCTAACCTCATACACAAAAGTAAACTAAAAAAGGACCAAAGACCTGAATTTCAGTAATGAATCCATAAAACTCTTAGAAGAAAACATAGGCAAAAATCTCTTGAATATAAACATCAGCAACTTTTTCCTGAACGCATCTCCTCAGGCAAGGGAAACAAAATTAAAAATGAACAAATGGGACTACATCATGCTAGAAAGTTTCTGTACAGCAAAGGACATCATCAGCAGAATAAAAAAGAATCCTACGGTATGGGAGAATATGTTTGTAAATGATATATCTGACAAGGGGTTCTTTATATATCCACAATATATAAAGAACTCACCTTTATATATATATATCCTTTATATATATATCACCTTTATATATATTGGTTCTTTATATATCCAAAATATATAAAGAACTCACCTCAACACCCAAAAAGCAAATAACTCGATTAAAAAATGGGCGGAGGATATGAACACACACTTCTCCAAAGAAGAAATACAGATGGCCAGCAGGTCCATGAAAAGATGCTCCACATCACTAATTATCAGGGAAATGCAAATTAAAACCACAATGAGATATCACCTCACACCAGTTAGGATGGCCAACATATAAAAGACTAGGAACAACAAATGTTGGCGAGGATGTGGAGAAAGGGGACCCTTCCTAAACTGCTGGTGGGAATGTAAACTAGTTCAATCATTGTGGAAAGCAATATGCAGGTTCCTCAAAAAACTAAAAACAGAAATACCATTTGACCCAGGAATTCCACTCCTAGGAATTTACCCAAAGAAAACAACTTCTCAGATTCAAAAAGACATCTGCACACCTATATTTATCGCAGCACTATTTACAATAGCCAAAACAACCTAAGTGTCCATCAGTAGATGAATGGATAAAGAAGATGTGGTACATGTAACACATGGAATACTATTCAGCCATAAGAAACAAACAAATCCTACCATTTGCAACAACATGGATGAAGCTATGGATTGTATATCAATGCCTTATTATGTTCAGTGAAATAAGTCAGGCAGAGAAAGACAAATACCAAATGATTTCCTTCATTTGTGGAGTATAACGAAGCAAAACTGAAGGAACAAAATAGCAGCAGACTCACAGACTACAAGAAGGGACTGGTTGTTATCAAATGGGAGGAGTGGGAGAGGTTGGGAGAAGGGGATTATGGGGTATCATGATTGGTGCACACGCTGTGGGTTATAGGGAAGACCGTGTAGCTCAGAGAAGACAAATAGGGACTCTGTGGAATCTTACTACACTGATGGACAGTGACTGCAATGGAGTGTGGGGACAGACTGGATAAGGGTAAATGTAATAACCACATTGTTTTTCTTGTGGAGCCTTCACAAGAGTGTATATCAATGACAGCATAAAAAAAAAGGCTAAACAACTTGCTCAAGGCCTTACAACTAAAACAAACACTAGCAACATGAATAAAGGGAATTATCAAAAACCTGTGTTAAATTTTAACCTCCTTTTTTTTTAATAAATAAAGATAAAATAAAAAAAATAAAAAAAAAAAAAAAAAAAAGAAAAAAAAAAAAAAATTAAAGAAAATTAACTTTCTGAACACTTTGCTCTTGAAAATAAAACTGAAAAATCATGCTAGGTGACTATTTAAGGCCTTGAATATAAGGTAATAGGAGGGCTGCAGGTGGAGAGACTTCACCTAATATTTGGGTATGTTTACTAACTTCTCATTCACAAAACCAAAAGATAATATCTAAAATTTATACACTGAGTTATGTAAGCCTAATATTTAGAATTTGGAGATGGGTACTAGATGAAAAAGTTAGAAGAATTAAAAGTAGTTGTCTCATGAGAGCTGAATTATGAAGAGAAAAAGATTGCTCCAAGGGATCCTTTCTGGGGGGTACTCTCATCATTGTTTAATATTGAGCTATCAAATGTATATATTAGCTGTATAAAGATTAATCTTTATTAAGTATAAACTATCTTTTAAAAATTCATTAAACTGATAAAAATTGAGAGATTGATGATATGTGTGAAAGAGCACTCACATACACTTGTCAGGAAGGCAAATTTATGCCATCCTTTTGGAAGGCAATTTGATATTACTCATAAAAACAAAACAAAACAAACGAGTATGCCTTTTGATCAGGTAATTCCACTCTCAGCAATCTGTCCTTCAGAAATACTTATAGGGCACAAGAATCGATATGGAAGAATGTGTCTTGCAGCAATGACCTATCAGTGTAAATCTGGGGCTAAATATCAGTGGGAGAAAGATAGGAATAGGCAAAAGACTGGGTGAAAAAAATAAATTGTAAAATATGAACAGTATAACTCATTTTGTATTAAAAGCAACAATATATACTGGAACATGCAAGGACAGATGTAAGAATCCTTGTTTATATATGCATTTAGAAAGACCCTAGAAGGAATAGCTAAGCTATTCATGAGATGAGAATGTGATGGGAGGATGATTTTAACTTTTCTATATTTTTCATTTTATTTTTTTAGACATAAAATACGTAACATTTCTGTAATGAAAAATAAAAAAGGTTTTATAGTTACAAGTTATTGAGTCACAAATCACAGAATATCATTTTCCTATGGTAATTATCACACTGATGAACCTTTTTCCCTATAAAATCTACAAAGGAATTCAAAGGTATAACCATTAACTTATTTGTATAATCAACCAAAAGTCCCAATAGAAGTGTAAACTTTTCCAGGAGAAATTTTACAGAAAACACTTGAGAATCTATGTGCAAGCACATATAAATATGCAACCAAGTAATAATAGCGTAATTTCAATATAAATAAACTCATCCAAAGTTAACGAATTCTCCATTATCCAAACCAATAGGGTGCAGTGGCCCAGGTAATTTCAATACTTTATATTTAGTCATGGAACATAAGTTTTCTAAAATTTCAAAGTTGTATGCATGAACTCACAAAATTCAAAAGAACAATTAATAGATACCTAGGAAGGGTGGATTCAGTAGGGGCCAGAGGGCTATTTAGCTCTTACAGGTCTCTTCCTCATTCCACCAAGAGGATGGAAAGCACAGTCTAGCACAGTGATATAATGCACTGGCCTAAACAGAAATGCTCTACGCTTACTACTAGGAGGAAAATAAATGGTGAGGCTTTGGGATTATTGGGTTTTTGTTTCTCACAAGCTCAATGTGAAACAGAATAAGTTCATGTCAATGAGACAGTCAAGAGCAAACAAAGCAGTAATAACCTAAATAACTTAAATAAGAGAAACTGAAAAGTGCCTAGGGAATAATAAGATAGGACAGTATTCTACATGGCCATATTCTAAGATTTAAAGCAACAGTGAGCAGAAAGAAGCTATTCTTGAGAGAAACATAAATTTCTACTTTGGGTTCAAGTTCTGGTTCTGTCACTTATGACTCTGGATATACTAATTAATTAAGTCTCAGCTTTCCTCTCTTCTAAATAAGAAAAACACTACTTACCACACAGGAAGGATGTATGATAAAATAAAATAATTCACATGAATGGGCTCTCAGTTCTTCGGAAACAAGCTATGAATCCTTAAGTATGAAACCTGAAAAGCTGATTAAAAACAAGATGACTTTGTCAAAATTAAGTCTGAAACAGTAGCCTAGAGGGTCTTCAAAATCGTTACCAGCTATCAATTTACCCCAAATACAATTTCTACTAAGGCTGCGACTAGAGTGCAAAGATAGTTTGAGCAATTAAAGGAGATCATTTATTTTTATGTTAATATATCAAGAACAAAGTAAACAGGATAGTCAGTGTCATGCTGATTTGATAAAACCTAAAAACACTGGTGTACAATGATGATATTCTTTTGGTGTTTCTCTTGTAAAAATATATTTGGAGCTGGTTGCTCAAAAAATATAACTACTGAACAATAATAATTAAAGGGTATTAATGAAATAATTAAAATAGTGTTAAACATGTGTATACAAGAGAATTATTTCTCTGATGTATAGAATAATCTGAAACTAGCTAACTGAAATTTTGAAGTCTAAAAGTATAATAGATGGTATTATCCAAAATTTACTGAGCAAAATAGACAAATCATCATGCTAGGCACCAGAAATTCATAAAGTATTAGATTTACTATGCATGTCTTACAACTAGACTACAAACCATGGCCAAATAACCGGGAGCACAAGAAACCATTAAGTAAGGAGTACTGTGTAAAACCAGTTTTATAAAAACAGAAGTAGGAATTAGCTAGTACAGTGAAAAGAGAAAAAGAAAGTGTTTCTGGGAAGAAAGTTAAATATTTAAAATTTTGTTTATAGCAGCTTACATCATTTCCTTATACAGTGGTCATCATATCTGTTTGGAGGTTTACAGAAACCTCAGGAGGGAGGCAGGGCTCACGCTCAGGCAGTATTTTAGATAGAAAAGAAGCTAAAAGAGGTTAGGCAACAGGCCTAAAAGCACAGGTTAGGAGGTGGTAGAGCTATATAGCCTGGCTAGTTTGCTGACTTTGTCCAGAGCTCATTTCTGCCACATTAAGCTTTAAGTTATCTAGACTAAAACGAGAACTCGGAGGGAGCTGAGAAATCTAATGCAGTGTTTCCCTAACCAATCTGATATAAAACTTTCTGGGGCCTTTATTAAAAACTGATTCCTAGACGCCACTGCACACTGACTTAATGGTAACCTCCAGAAGAGAGGTTATGTATTTTTACATAAGTCCCAAGAGATGATTCCATTAATTAGCTAAGCTTGGAAAACACTGTTCAATATCCGCCATGTCGAATATGGCAGGTACAGGGCTAAATTTACAAGGATTAAGTCAAAAGAAAAAACTGGGTCTCTTAGTCATACCAGACACCTTTTCAGTGTTCAATAGTCAAATGTGGCTAGTTGCTACCATACTTGACAGCACATATATAGGACAGTTCGATCATTGCAGAAAGTTCTATTGAGTAAGGCTGCTCCTAGCCCAACCCTTCAACTGTTGAGGATGAGAAAACCAAGGCACAGGATCTCGTCCAGCAAGTGCTATGAAGCTACCTAGAGGCAAAACTGAAATGCTAACCTAGCCTGCCAGCGACCCTCTTACTCTATCACTTCATTCCACCCCAAATTCAGGCTTTATTCAAATGGGAATTATTTTCTTTCCACCTTTTTTGGTGAGTTCCAGCAAAGCAAGAAGAGAATCCTAAATTTGTGTGGAAAAAAATCCTAAAAAAAAAGGTTTATTAAAAAAACCGTGATTAGATCTAAACGAATCTGATAGGTGAAAAAGATGAAGGGAAAAAATGGGTAAGAATATTTGATATCTTGATCTGGGTGACAGTTACATGAATATATACATGTAAAAACTCATGAAGCTATACACTAACATTTGTGCACTTTTTCTATGTACCTCAATATGAAAAATAAATCTAAAGCAATCTGCAATTTTTTTGTATAAAATTAAAAGTAGCTCTGGACAGTTCAGAATGTCCTGGTGTTGGGAGGCACATCTTAGTTTAACTATTTTAAATCCTTCCTCTTCTGCTGTGATGTGCGATGTTTTTACCTTTTTTGGGGACTTATAATCCAAAAATAACAAAACATTTTAACTGGCTTACTTTAGAAATTATAAATGTGAAAAGGTTTAATCTTATTTAGCAAACATTTTAAACATGAAAAATTGAGAAACAAGGAGCAGCACAAATAATAGTGACTTAATTTTAAAATGTGGCCACTTGAACCACTGAATACTCTTGGCTTTTAGTAATCTTGTGGCTTAGTATTTAGGATTAATACATTGTTTTCACCTCTTAGCTACATTTTAAAACAATTTAAATTGCTCTATTTTCATTTACAGTGTAACTGAGGGACTGGACTAGAAGGCTCTGAACATCTACGAAGATTTAGGCACTAATCAGGTAACACATAACCAGCCATAAAAAATACAGTAATGTCTTCTTTAGAAATTAAACCAGTTGTTCCTGTCTAGTGTGTTTAGAATGCAAATGTCTTTAAAGTCAGTCAGCTTAAGTCCTCACAGTTCACCTTAAAAAAAAAAAAAAGAGGAGGCTGGTGGTTGTCATAGGGGAGGGAAGTTGGAGGGATGGGCAAAATAGATGATGAGGATAAAGAGACAAACTTCCGATATAAAATAAGTCACAGGGATGAAAAGTACTGCATAGGGGATATATTCAACAATACTGTATTATCTTTGGATGGTAACTACACTTAACCGTGGTGGTGAGCATTTCGTAATGTATATAATTATTGAATTACTATGTGTACACCAGACCAGCATAATATTGTGTATCAACTATACTTCAATTAAAAAAAAGCAGGAAAATAACCTGGAACTCCGTAGTAATTAAAATTAAAGACAAAATTCTACAACTCTATTAATTTTTTTCAACACAAACTTGAAAACAGTTTCACCATAACTTGCAAGGTACCCAGAGTCTTGAGCATAGGGTTCTATATAAATAGAAGCTACTTGTTATTCAGAGGAGGAGGTGGTGCAAAAAAGGACAGCTATTTTCTTTCTAAACACTCACTGCTGTTAAGGTAAACAAACAAAAAAAATATAGTCTAAAGCACAATAGAGCAAAGCAACAGTCTCTTAAGCCGTAAAAGGGGGAGAGAAAAAAATGTGCTTTAATATTTTACATAGGCGACTGGAAGTTTAAAAAGAAATTTATTTTCTAGCTTTTAGACCAAATTCATTACTTCTACATTTTATCTGTTGTCTTGACTCCCGCTCACTATCTTCGGAAGAGGAAAACATGTACCCTTAAGATTCTTATGCCCACAAACTACTTTCAGAGGCAGAGCACAGCTCACCAGTTAAAGGAGAAAGTTAGAAAAATGCTAAATGACAATAGCAGAACTGAACTACTTCAACCACTGAGTGATAAATACTGGCACATACTAATGTAACAAGCATGAAACATGCCACAAATTCTAAGCAAATAAAATAAAAGTGTTGTAATAATTCAAAATCTCATGAAGGAGTGAGTTGAAGAGGAAGAAAAAAAGAAGGGAAGAAAGAAATTAAGAAAGGAAGGATAGCATTGTGAAGGAGGGGCCCTGAGGAGGAAGCTCAGCTTGAAAGGAACACATAGGTCAAGAGGAGGAGGGAAGAGCTCTTCCGATCCACCAGGAGATGCTTCCAACACCTTCAGTAGTATGCCCACGAGCCAATTTTAGGTATCCTAACGAAAATGATTTAAGCATCAGGCAAATGTGCCTTGAGATAGGATAAGAACAGAGACAATGCTGAAATTTCTAACTTCAAAAAGATGCATTTGAAAGAGAAAACAGTCATGAGAGCCCCAGACTGTAATTCCCAAGCCTTCTGTATTAAAAAAATCAACCATTCTCAGACAGAGGCCGACACATTTGAAAATGACCCAGCAAAGTTTTCAGCGGGCTCTCACTGTCTCTGAAACCCTCCTTCCTCCATTTCCCTGCTGTTCTTTCCTGGCACACAAAATAATAGGCCAATGAGCAGTGGGTGGGTGAAGAGGATGTGAGAGAAAATTTGAGAAGTAAAAAGGGGAGCAACTTAGCAAGGACATAAATAAGACTCAAGGGTCTAATAAGGCCACGCAAACAATTAGAACTGAAAAACAGAACGGGTTTTCCTGGGCAGCAGCGAGCGCTCAGGACAGGGGTTTAAGCACAGACCAGACTACCTACCTACCACTTGTCAGCGAGGCTGCAGAGAGGACAGCTGCTTTGGGTGACCTCTAATGTCTCTTCGGATTCTGAAACGTAGGATTCTTATTCAGAAAAGAGAACTCAATGTTCATACAAGCCCACCGACTGCGAACCCTTTTGAACAAGCGGCCTGGGCGGCTGCTTCCAAAAAACACCACTCCCACCGCTCCCTCCCACACGTGCCCACCCCGCCCCCTTTCAATATTTCCACCTCCACGTGCGAAATGTCTTGCAGCTCCTGCTCAAGCGGACAGACGCCTTCCCCAGCAACGCACCCTAACCATGCCCCACTAGAGGAAGTGAGGACTCCACTCTCCCACCCTGAGTGGCTAAATAAATAAGAGTCTCAAACCCAGCCTTTTCCCCGAGCCGGAGCTGAAGGGCTAAGGGAGGGGCGGGACACCAAGAAAAACTTTCTTCTAAAATTTTTCTTCCAGAGACTGGAGGAGGCAGAGAGAATCCCGACGAGTACGGAGCTGAGGAGGCAGGGGGAGGGGAACCCCCCGAATCGTTTAACGGCCGGTAGGGGGAGGGGACTCTGGAGGTTGAGGGGGCGTGGGATGGAGAAGTAGGCCTGAGAGCGCGGCCAGGCAGCTGCAGGGGTTCCTGGGGTCGGGGAGCTGCGGGCGGCCCCCCCCACCTGGCACACAAAGCGGCCGCCGCGCTCGGCTCTCACCAGATCCTTTGTGTTTTCCATCAGGGCCTCATGGGTAGGGTTTGTCCGTGCTCCCCGGGCCCGCGACGCCCCCTCCCCGAGCTGGGGGCAGGCGCCCCTCCCTGGGACTACGGCGACTACAGGGGGCCCCCGCTGGGCCCAGAGCTGTGACGGCTACGACAGCCCCCGGATTTCCCCCCTTTAACTCGGGTGGCCCCAGGATATCAACAACATTAGCATAGCCCTCCCTCCCCAGCGCGCCTGCGCCGTGACCCGCGCCCCGATTGGCCCACTTCCCTACATACCCTTCTCTCTCTTCCAGCGTGGGACCCTCTGCAGGCTCCGTACTCCAAGGGCCGTACCAAGACGAAGGGGTGGGAAAGACAGCTGGGACTCGTTTTAAGTCGAGTGGTGAAAAAGTCAACAAAGAGTAGAAGTTTCATTCATTCATCTCAGTTTATACTGTAGTTCTCTTGTGCTTCTTTCAGTCAGTTGCAGCTGTGAAGTCGTGCTGAAAAAAATTTTCCACTCGAGTCACGCCACTTCCCCCTCCACCCAGAAGATCGGTTCTCCCGGAGGAACTCCCGTAAGGGGAGGGGCACGTGAAGCGTGTGGGCGTTACGTAGGGCAGAGTGTTGATCACGTGCTAGCAGGCCGCGCAGGCTCTTTCGGGTCCCCCCGGGCCTTGGCGGCGGCGGAAAACCAGGTCCCTCGACGCACGCGCAGTGAGGTTCCACGTGAGCGCTTGCGTTTCTTCCCCAGCCCAACGATGCCGCCGGAACGGAGGAGCCGAGCGAGACCCGGCCGGAGAACTGGAGCGAAGCCGGACCGGAGGGCCCGAATGAGGCCGGACCGGAGAGCCGGAGTTGGGCCGGGCGGGCCGCCCCGAAAAGCTGCTCCTTCATCCCAGCGGAAGTCGCCGGCTCGGCCGAGCGCAGCAGCCACTGCAATCGCAGTCTCGGCGGCGGAGGAGAGGCGGCTCCGGCAGCGGAACCGCCTGACGGTGGAGGAGGACAAGCCGGCCGTGGAGCGGTGCCTGGAGGAGCTGGTCTTCGGCGACGTGGAGGAGGACGACGATGCGCTGCTGCAGCGTCTGCGGGGCCCGCGGGTGAGTGAGGCCGCGGCGCGCGGGCCGGGAGCGCTCGGGCGGGGCGCGTGGTGGGCGGCGAGCCTCCGTGGGCGGAGCCTGGGCGACCTGCGGCGCGGGGGCCGCTCAGGTGGGGGGGGAGCCGGAGAACGCGGGCGCCGAGGGGTGCCGGACCCAAAGCCTCCGCCCCGGTGTGGCCCCAGCGCCTGGTGACCAGCGGGCGCTCACGCGTGCAATTTAACGAACTGTGGTCGTGTGGGTCTTTCGTGGCTCAGCCCGACTATCCGCTACCCGAATTCACTGTTTGTTCCCTTGTGGCCATCCGATCACCCGCCTCAGTACTTTGCCGTAATTTCAGGAGTTGCACTAAATCAGTGCAATCAGAATTCGTGGGCACGGGCCTGGAAATCTGCGTTTTAACAATCTTCCCCAATGATGGATTTGCCAGCTTTTGAGAATGATCCTGTATTCATCTGCTCAACAGATCATTTGTGAGCTAATTGGTTGCCAGGTACTTTTCCTGGCATTGTAAACTTTCCGTGATTATAATTTTTGCATACTTTAAACCATTCCTTTTATCCTATACCTGTACTCACAGTAGGGAGGCCCAGAACAAAACTGACACAGCAATGGACAAAAACTGGCGTAAGTCCCTTCTTTCTTGTGTATGTAATAGTGGCACAGGCAGACGATGCAGGAGATGAGTAAAATTCAAATATGTTAGGGACAAGCGCTGAAGAGAGAAAAGAATCGGGGAAAGGGAAGATAAGTGTGTGTAGAGGAGTCTGTGCATTTTACATAGGGCGGCCAAGTAAAGCCTCACTTAGAATTACTTAGTTTGGTAAACGAATGCGGACCAGCAAGTATTAAATGATTGCCAGAATCTCCTTTGGGTGCTTACAGGAGAAGGTGCAGCTTTCTATTGGGCAGATAGAGAACTGCTACTGGAAAAATGCTGAATTGTGTTCGTTTCATCGTCAGGAAAAGGAGCAATCTGAAGTGGGATTTGTTGGTTTTGTAGGATCATCCGCTGATAACAGATCGAGTAGAAGTCATTTGGCCATATCTGTTATGTAGTTTGGGAAAGCTCAAGCTCACTTTAGGGGTATTCTGTGGCCTAGGTGTAGATTTGATAGTATAGTACAAAGTTTCTGAAGGAGGTGGGGGCGAAGAATGGTTGTGAAAATGGAGAAGAAATATGTCTAAGAATATGAAATATGAATTAATGACTCTCATAGAGTCAATCCTGTTATTTTATCTTTGATGCTAGCCTGCCTCTGGTCCCTTAATTTCTGTAGTTGGGGATTTTTCCTGCCTCTTTTTTCATCTGTTAACTTAGCTTTTGTTGCTTGTCTTACTTGGTTTTTTCCTTTCAGCGTGTTGGTTTTCTGACCTTGACTTCCGTCTTACCCTCATGTGTCCAGTTTGTGGTATCCTTCTCTAGTCTCTTCATTTTCTATTCCGCTTCCAGCATTTGCTGTGGTGGCACCAGAGGGCCTAAAAACAAAGCTTTCTACAAGCCTTCTAAGGGCAAAGGTGGTGTGTGCCTGCCCCCTCGGGTTATGAAGAACTCAGTGCTTGAGGGCGTTTTGTCTTCTTTAGGTCCTAGGACAGGATGACTCAGGTGACTCAGAAGTGGGGAAGGAAGCAGAAAATAATTTTCTACCTCAAAAGAAGCCAGTTTGGGTGGATGAAGAAGATGAAGATGAGGAAATGTAAGTTGCCTACTTTTTCTTCCAGAATTCCTCTGGATAACTTAAAAGTTATTTGTAGGTTTTAAAAAAGCTGTTTTTATGAATATGAGATTATGCGGTGATTTGAAAAATTCTGGTAAGTAAAGAAAAGGTCATTTATAATCCCAGTGCCGAGGGAGAACCACTGTTAACGTATGTCCCTCCGTCTCTCTTCTCTTCTTTGCTGTTTAGAGTAGCAAGGAGAGCACAGGGTTTGGGGTTAGACCTGGGTTTGCCTCCGAATTTAGGCAGTTCCTAATCAACCAGGGCCAAGTTTGGAACCTACCTTTTCTAGTTTGAACAGAGATAATAACTGTAGCAGAAGGCTTTTGAGATTGAATGAAATAGTGTATGTAGAACTCTTAGCACAATGTCTTAAACAGAAAAGTCTAAAAAAGAAATTAACCCACACAATATGTACTTAATAGGTATGGTACTGTATAGCAAGCATTTCTCCACACTAAAAAGCCTTTATAAACATTTTTAAATGGACATATCATAGTCCATTATATGACTTGACTATAATTTACATCACTCCTGGACAGATTTTCCTATTTTTCTGTTTAATAAATTCATGTTGAGATAAACATTGTATGTAAACTTTTTTTCTGTTTTTCTAATTATTTCTGTAAGAAAGATTTTTTTGAGGTAGAATTACTTAATCAAAGAGCACAGACATGTGTAAGGTTCCTGATAAATATTAATATTGCCTGACTGACCATGAGGTTTACCAGTTTCTCTTCTCATTGAAAGATACTAATTTCACTCTATTCTTATAAGCAATTATTAATCTTTTTTTCAGACTGACAGTTTAATGTGTGGGATATAGTTGGTCAATTTGTGTTGCAAAAACATTTTTGTTCTTAATCATCGGCATTTGTTAGACATAATCTCTATTCTGTCCTTGTCTACTGGAAATTATTTTTAGTTTTTATAATAAAAACTGTAAATATTTAAGGTGCATAACATGTGTTTTACTGTACATAGCAAAATGATTAGTACAGTCAAGCCAGTTAACATACTCATCTCTTCACATAGCTACTGTTTTTGTTTGTGGTAAAAGCACCTGAAATCTACTCTATTAGCAACTTTCTGGTTTTCAGTATAGTCTTATTAGCTCTCTAGATTTACTCATCTCTACATAACTGAGCTTCGTATTCTTTGACCAACATCACCTCCATTTCCCCTACCTTCCTGCTGCTGATAACCACTATTCTCCTCTCTGCTTCTGTGTATTCTACTTTTTTAAACATTCCACATATAAAAGTGAGATCATACAGTATTTTTCTTGTGTGTCCTACTACTTCACTTAGCATAATGCCCTCAAGGTCCATCTGTATTGTAGCAAATGGCAAGATTTCCTTGAGACTGTTTCTTAATGATAGTATATCAGCTCCTTATGAATTGTGAATTTCAAACCTTTGTCAGAATTATTGGAGATGTTCTCCCAGTTTTGTTGGCTTTTTTTTTTTGTTTTTAAAAAGTTGTTTGGCACACAGAATATTTAAAATTTTATGTAGTTATTTCTATAAGTCTTATTTTTTCCTGTTGTTTTTAATATTTAAAAAGTTCAATAGAGAGAGACAAATGTTTGCTGTATTTACCCTTCATAGCATTTTAAGGTTTAGTTTTTACATATTTAAATCTTATTTATCTGGAATTTGTTTTGGTGAAGGACATAAGCTGTGTTGGAATAAGTAATTATGAATTTGAAGTGTTAACCCTTTAAAGGGTAAATATTGACTCTGAAATACACACTGGAGCCTTTTTGTTTTGGGGAAAATGGAGAAAATGCATATGAGGTATTGCACATCTTACAGAGCTTGACCTATAGTGTTCGGTTGAATGTGTTCTCAAAATACTACAAACATGAACTATTTAGGTTGATTCTTCAAAAGTCATTTAAGCATGTTGTTCTTTTTTTTGTAGGATTGACATGGTGAACAGTCGGTTTCGGAAAGATATGATGAAAAATAACAGCGAAAATAAGCTTTCAAAAGATGAGCTTCTAAAGAGACTTAAGGAAGAGTAAGTGTCCTTTGTCATATGATGTACCAAGTAGTATTCATAACCATTTTTGATTCTGTCAGTCTTCAGCTGTAACAACTTTTCAGGTAGTGAGATTTCCGTTTTGAAGTAGTAACAACATTGCTGTTGGAAGAAACGGTTAAATTTTAGTATTTAGGGGAAGAGGAAATACAGTAAGTACTAAAAAATTTGGAAAAAGCTTGTAATCCCACCACCCAAATAGAATCAGTGATTATATTGACTACTTGCTTGTTCATTTGTGTATGGGAAACCATCTCTTTTCCATAATTTCTAGGCTTTTTTAATTGAGTTAGGAAATATATGTGTATTTTAAAATGATTTCATTTTGGTTCTTCTAATTCAAACTCACAGATTTAAAAATATTTAAAATGTTTTGTATTTATTTTTTAATATTCCTAGAGGTTCATTGCATTATCAGTGTT